AAGGAAGGAAGGAAGGAAGGAAGGAAGGAAGAAAATCCATTTTCTACCAAAATTCAAGTATTAAGGATTAACTCAGTGACATGCAGTAAAATCTCATAATAATGAGAAAGGAAATGTACAACTCATTCAGCTTCCACGCTTCCCCCATCTCCTGGTCTAATTTATTAACCTCCCAATAGCAAAATCCTGCATTTTTACACAACTGAATTCTTTAGACCTTACTTAAAAAGTTATTGTGAGATTTTACTGTGTGAATGAGGTTCAACATAGGTTAAGGCTCTGTTCCTTTCCCCTTTGTTTTGTGACATAGCTAATAATAGAAAACAACTTCTCTCTACTCTACTCCCTATTTCTCATGGAGCTCTTTTGAAAGTTTTGTTTGCTATCAGTATCTGAGCCACTTGCTGTTTCCAACACGGAGGACTGTTCTTTCTATACCAGGCAACTGGTGCTAAAAGAGCTTTAAAAAACCTGAATATAATGACTCTTTACCTTTATATAATACAGTCAATGCTGTGAAGTTTATAAAGAGCCTTTACACACAAAATCTTAAATAGTTCTTACAACAGTCTTGTAAACTTGGGATTTTAATTCCCATTTTAAAATATGAAAATTTATGCTAGGAAAGGTTCACTATGTTAAAGTCACAAAACCAACAGAAGGCAGGACCAAGGATCAGATTTCAACCTTCTCACTTCAAATCCAAAGGCTTTTCTTTTACACTATACCTATAATCTGGGAGTTTTTATTTGTACTGAAAAATTGAAATGCTTACTTTCAAAACTGTTTTTTCAATATAGCTGAAACTCCTAAATCTTAACTTCCTGAGATGTTTTAAGCTCTCAAGTTAGTTATTATAGTTTGACTTCTTTGATTATTCCAGGCTGGACTCCATTTCTCTTTTCCTTGTTTTCTATAATACTTAATCTCATCCAAAAAAGACTAACTGGCCCTCATATTAAAGGTCAATCCACTCCAGATGGACTCGTTGTAGAAATCAAAGTCATAGATCTCTATATAACATACTATTATTCTGATACTAAATTTTTATCCCCAGACTTCTTGTACGTTATCTGGCAAAGCTTTGACAGTGAGTGAGAATTTTCAAAACAAAGTCAGAAGTATAGAAATATATAATTATTTAATTATATTTCTTATAGCTATGATTCCCAAAGCACACCAAACACAAAAATCATAATATAATTTGCAGAGAATTTTAATATTGCTAAACTCTTTTCAATTTATTTTTATCAAAGTAAGATATTCATAATTAAATAAGTCAAAACTAAAGATGCTTATGATTGAAAGCAGAATTCCCCCTTCTATATTGAGAACCACTCTCCAAATAAAAATAATGTCAATATTTCTAGATATTTCCATTGGAAGGAGTCTTTATATTCCTAATTATTATGTTAATGATTTTTTTTCTGTTTTTATACACTTTAAGCATTATCTCTTGACTTTTTATTGTGTTAGATAAAGATTTAGCTAGTTTGGGCCCGCAAACTTTCTCCCTCTACCCCTCCACCGAGGATAGCTATATCTTAATTTTTATCAAATTACTATTCAATTTTGAATTATTCTGATCATGCAAATGTTGACTACTGAGTCTATTGTATAATGATCGTGTTTCTTTTTTTTCTTTTCTTAAGATTTTATTTATTTATTTGACAGAGAGAGACAGCGAGAGAGGGAACACAAGCAGGGGGAGTGGGGGAGGGAGAAGCAGGCTTCCTGCTGAGCAGGGAGCCCGATGCAGGGCTCGATCCCAGGACCCTGGGATCATGACCTGAGCAGAATGAAGATGCTTAACGACTGAGCCACCCAGGCGCCCCATGATTGTATTTCTTACAGAATTTTTTCCAATCTGTTAATTACTGCAATGCCTGCCAATTTGGTTAATTTCTAGTGTCCCTCTCATAAATTCTTCCTAGTGACTCTAATGGCCTCTCAGTTACCAAAGGCAACAAATAACCCATGAACTCCAATTCTTTATCCCCTATAAAGGTCCTTCTTCTTCCAGGCTGGTGGGATTCCAGCACTTCAATCAGCTTTTGTTCTGACTTCATCCCCTCACGCTCCTCAGAGAACGCTCAGAAAGCAAATTATTTATTTCTTGCATGTGTTTTTGTGTTCTTA